TTCCAGGAAAACTGAAAGATGGAAAAATTCCTGAAATGTGTAGAAATGCACTCTTGTGAGCATATTCGATGTTCCAAATTCCATAAATATAGCTAGTGAAACAAAGGAGCGGAGGGAGGTATACCATGAGTCTGTGTTACCAGATTATAAACTAGGTTAATTTTTGACGAAGTGAAAGAAGAACAACCAAATAATCAGAAGTACTTATATAGGTATGAGTACAAGTACTTCGGAAAAAAATTTTTTTTTTACGATTTTTGAACAAAGGTCAGAATAAATATCATGATTATTGGAAACGGAAGTATTTCTGGAAGTATTTTTTCTATTAAACCCATCTGAAATGATGAAAATTGATTTCTATTCACAGCGACAGCAGGAAAACTGTGAGTACCGCCGATTAGTATAGTGATGTAATGTATTTTTTCTAATTTTGACATGTAATGTGACACTTTTCAAAACTGACGGAAGTTTTGAAACGTCTTACTTTACGTAACCAGTTGCGTAAAGTAAAATTTTACATAACTGGTGATGTAATGTTCATTTCATTCATTCATTTCACACAACAAGAGTCGGCAGAACTCATGTAAAACTGGTCATTATTTTTGTTCATGCGAAATGTTTCGTCAAAATTAGAAAAAATATTGTACGTGACACGTTAGGAAACGCCATTTTGTGTAACTCTGTGATGTTGCGGGATCTCGCTTCGCTCGTCCCGCAAAATCCCATCGTTACACAAAACAACGCGTTTCCTAACTGATTACGTAAATATCTATTTCATACCGCTGTTATAAGACATCATCACAGTATCGGTACTATAAATGAAAATGGTAAATATGTTGGGAACTTCTAGCTAATCACTATAAATATTCACACTGAAAAGGAATCACGTTCTCCTTAGAACGAGCTCCTAAGTTTTAGAAATTTCTATCAATCCACTAGTTTTCAGTACCATATTGTGCTTGAGTTTGAGATGTGTTTCCAGCTCCTGTTTATAATAGTATTTTTTCTCACAGAAATAGCAGACCAAAGTTTTCTCCTTGCCACACTCCACTCTCTGATGCCTTCGCAAGTTATTCTTTGTTGTATAAGATTTGCCACAGCTTCCACATGGATAACGTATCCTTCCTATAAAAATCACACGGTCTTATTAATCTCAAATCAATCGACTGTTTTGGATTTCTATACATTACCAGCAGTTCATGCGTTGTCTTCTAGAATAGCATTCCAAAAAAACTCAGAAAAAAAATCAATTCACTACGAACATTCCATTACTTTGAACATTAATATGACACTACTATTTCCGCTCAGATATAAGTAATATATAATTCAGGAAAAAAATGATCATGACTATTTATGGATAGGTCATTGATTGAGGGCGCTGATTGAAAAAAAGATGCATTTTATGACATTATGGGTTTCGCGCCTACGTTCTACTATTATTGCTTGATTTCATCGTATCAATTGTGTTGCTTATTATCTCTGAAATAGCTATAATTATTGTTTGATCATCATTGCGTACAGCATGTGATCGTAATTATGCTGTTTCCTGAACTGAATCATTGCTTCAATGAAGATTTCCATATGAACTTTCATGGAACCAGTGCTCTTTTGAATGAGTAATCAGAATTGACTAGCATCACTAGCAATTCTAAACAATCGATGGAGTGGAAGAAAGCTAATATTTCCAACATCATATTATACACTCATATGGTCGTATACCATCAGTAGATATACACGTGTGGCAAACATAATTTTCCTATAGAGAACCCGTTTGCATGGACATTTTGAGAAAGCGACGTTGCCATACGCTTCGTATCGCCCTAACCTCTACTTCGAGCGAGTCCATTTTTAGGCCCGACCGGAGTTATTATCGTTTGCCACACGTGCCATACTGAAGGAGGTGAGGCAACAACCCTTTCATCCTCTCTTGTTGAATACCTATACACGTTCCTCCATAGTTTTGCCAGGCGTTAAGTAGGTTACTGGCAGTAGTTAATTTGAATCTCAGACATTTTTTTAGGTAAAACTGCACTTTTCATGAGATGGGTTTTTTTCGAGAATGTTTTTTGGTACTTGCGTGTTTTTGTCTGAAAAATACGAATTAGATAATGAAAATGTGAACAAACCATTATTTCTCAAGATATTTCACTATACACTTACAAATTTCAAATTCTTCTCCACCTGTCATCTTGATCATATTTAGAACAATTCGCCTTTCTTTTTCCATCATTGGACAATTCATATATCACAATGTACTTCAATGACACATTTTTTTGTATAATATGAGTCAACTATAGAAATATGATGTTTTTGCGATTTATCCATATATGGTGAAAAGAAAGAAGAATATCATTTGAAATAATGGCGTGTGTGATGTCATTCAAAAACAATCTGTTGATATTTGACATCTCTCATTTGGATTGACTTTTGATTAAATGTCCGTCATCTGGTATGATTGTTCACTAAATATGAAAAACTGGCCATAAATATCATATTTGTCGAAATTTTTATATAAAAATGTGTCATTGAAGAGCATCATGAGTATATAAAGTGTCCAATGAAAAAATTATAAGAGCAAGTAGCTGTAAATGCATTCAACACAGGGGGAAAAAGAAGGCGATATTTCGAACATTTTCTTGAAATATGTCGATAAATAGTGGTTTCATTATCAAATTCGAGTTTTTCAGACCAAAGTATGTAAGTACCAAGAATAAATTTCGAAAAAGAATCATGCTCAAGATAAGTGCAGCTTCACTTTCAATTTAGATCTGATATAAACAATGGAGGACAGTCCATTGAATGTGCTCACCAGGATGACACATGTTCCTTTGATACTAACAATAATTATCATTATCATAGATTCATGGTATATCTCTTACCTACAGTAATCTACGTTCATATAAGATGACCAATGACCATCCTCAAAACAGGAAGTGATAATTTACCTTTCAGAAGTTTCGACTCAAGGAAGAACAAATTCTCAAATGTTTCAAATAATTTTTGCAAATTTCGAATCATCCTATAGAACACACTAGGAAGTTTATAAGTGTGACATCAAAGTAGATAGAATCATCAATGCAAATCCTATATGAAACACTACATTTATGTTACTTACATACTGTTGATTTGACTATACTTAACCGAAATAAAGAAATAGGAAGTACTACTTTTTCGTCGATTTTTGTTAACTTTGAGTTATTCACCATATTTGAATCTCGAAAAGTATCTGGTTCACCAATATCATTATGAATTGGAATTTGATGAAATTTGACAAAAGTGGAATTTTGAGGAATACTCTCCTGTCTGTAATAAAAATAAATCAAAAAATATTGTAGAACTCCTCACCCTCTGGCATTTTTTCCAGAACATAGTTTTTTTGAACAAGAAGACAAATCAATCATCTGTTACTCTTGTGAGAAATTCGTACTCCTAATATTCCAGGAAGGAAAACATTTTTTGATTTGATAATGATAACATATATTATTAGATCGAATTAAATAACATTGTGATACAAAATTTAGTTGACGGTGGCAACAAAAGTAGAACGTTTTCAATATGCATGTCGGCTATACCATCATGAAGAATACAAAGGTCAAATCTTCGTGAAAATTTGAAAAGCATCCGTTTTTTTATATGAATTTAAACCTCTTCTCGCGGACAAACGGAACATTCTGGTATATAAATTGATTGGGTCCAACCAACTTATTTCCACCTCTATTATAAGTGATGCGTGTCGCAGCAATTTTGGGACACCGAGTATATTAGAAGAATATCAATATTCCCATCCTATGCACATGCGTTTGTCTCCCCAAAAAAGTATCAAGATATATTCTTTTTCTCAGAACCCATATTAAGGAATGATATCCATATCACGTCAGCATGAATCGCTTTTGTGCTTCTACAGGGTTTTCAAACTTAAGTCGGCACTATTGCTTTAGCTTGGTTATGATTGAAGGTACGAAGTCGGTTCAATGGACAAACTTGTAGTTTTTCTGGTGCTGCTTACGACGATTAATATATCGTAAAAAAAATTGGAAGTCGCGACCCGAGTTATATGTGAAAGTTAAATTTTTTTGAATGGGACACACCTCAATTTATAGGATATTCGATTCTGAATCAGAACAGGTCCATAAACTTGTATCCTAAATTCAAAAATGACTGAGCTATTGACTTTTATGTCAAAAGATACTTTTTTCTTAAATGGGACACCCAGTATAGATAATTCTCATTTGATAGAGAATGCGATTATGAACAGAAACTGCCCATAACCTTCCATCGTGAATTCAAAAATGACTGAGCTTTCGACAAATTCTTTCAACATTTATGTCGAAAGGTACTTTTTTCTTAAAAATTAAAAAAAAAAGTATTTTTTGACATATTCGTGAACACGATGTTCGATTTTTTTTTCGATTTCATTATCGTAATCAGCGGAAGAAATACTATGAATATGTCCATTTAACCAACTTTTTTGCTTCGATACAAACTTATCAATAGTGCCGACTTAAGTTTAAAAGCCCTTCATAATATAATCTGCCAGAACTTTCATAAAAACGCCTCTGTGAATCCATATCAGGAATATTATGATGAAATCTCAATTCACAGTTGGAATAAAATACGAAACTCCTCCACCACAGATTCTTATGATAGGAATTCAACAGAGATTGTTTGATAGTCTGCAAAGGATAATCACTTGAACAGAAAGAAAGTTCTCTTCTGTTGAATAAGAGAGCAATGATTTTTCAGAAGAGTTTGATATCGAAATAACAGGAACATAATTGTTTACTGTGAACCTTTGGATACAAGAATTCATATCGCAAATGTGGAACTATGTTCGATTAAACTATATTTCAGATGGTTGAAATGAGCCTTTCATATCTAAGATCGCTGGCTAATAACCCAGAAAAAGTATAGGTATCTATTTCCTTCGAATAATTGGACATATCGTCGCTTGTCAACATCATTTACTTACTTTAATCATCAAGACTTTTAGATAATGATTCAAAAAACACAAAGCGTATGCATATAAAAGACCCATCGGTTTACTACCCCAGCACAGTCTTCCAGAGTTCAGTACAACGTCCTTCTCCACTTCAAAATGTTCAAATTCGTGTTAGCAGCAGCCTTAGCTACTATTGTGCAAGCACATGTAAGTAAAACACATTATTTTCCAAATTCTGACTGTTTGTTGGTGAATATGTTCAATCAGTTTCTTACACGGAAAAAAGTTATATAAGATTTGTTCTACCTCTCTAGTTTCTGTCATGATAGTTTGAAAAGTCATTACTTTGTTTGTTGAAAGTTCGTCGTAGGTAAATCTCCTTCAAGAAAAAAAAAGTGAGTAGTTTTGACAAAACCATTTCTTGATGGTCACAGCAATAATTCAAATTGAATGCATTCTCAAAATCGAAATAGTGTCCAGGGGAGAAATATGTTCGCGGTCATATCGACTAGTTTTACATCAGATTAAAAAAAATGTTCTATATCGAAACACTTTCTTCTGCTTCACAGAACTACGATGATGAGAAACATTATAAATATATACATCTTGAGAGTAATAGTACTTTATACACCTTGGGACTAAAGTGGTATTTTCAATCCCGAGAAAAAACTGTCGAGGGATTCGAAAACACTTTAGTCCTATATACTATTTTTTGCACTTCAGGATAGGTATACCTCTTTTTCACTTGAACAATTTCAGTGGGTTGAAGATACATTTTAATATCAAGAGAAATGAGTTTTTCTATAGTTTAATATTGTTCTAAACACTTTACTCGTTTGTTGCATCCGAATCATATAATATATTTTTAATAAAATTATTGAAAATGATTTTTCTAACTTTATCTGTTGAATAACAAAATACATTTGAGTAAGTACATTTCAAGTTACGGGGGATATGAAGTATCACTTCTTCTCCAGAAAATAGTGATTTAAAGGGTTGTTTGAATCCTTACAGTGCATAAAAAATATCGCTTGGGTAAAGTTTAGGAATATATTCTTGGTCAAAGGGTGATGATGATATTCTTCACCACCATGGTGTATAAATGAAAGTTACAAAGTTATTCTGCTGAAGTAAATGTTCATACAAATTTAGCACTATATTATCTGTCATTCTAGGTGATTTTGAGAACTGCCAAGTTTTCAGGGGGTTTCTTGATACTTCAACACTCTGCGTAAATACTTCAACGAAATTGAAAATCGTACTATAATTGTTTATTTTCACAAATAGAAATATAGATGGAATATATCATATATCAGTTTCATGTTATTCAGTGATATCACTCAATCACTAAGCACTCATTATTCGCTTTGCCCGAAATTCCGTCAACCTCAATCAATATAAAAATGGTGATTGGCGGATTGGAACCAAGCACTTCAAGACTGCACGCAAAGCTATTTGGACTTTTACACTTCTGCATCTGGTTTTATTTTGCCTATCTTGTCTAAGGCAAAAATCGATACCTGGCCACCAAGGTTGAAATTATTCGAATCATAAACTTCAAGTGTTATGTATAACTGCGTGCCAGTTTGGGGTCTCAGATATCTTAAAGTGCTTGAAAGAGTTCAAATATCCTTTCTTTAAAGAATTCTATTGGTTTCCACCAATACACCCGATGCCATTATTCGCTTTGAAACTGGGAGGGTGAAACTTGCTTATAATGTGCCTAAAATATCCGTGAACTGGATTCGCAAAATACTGTCGATGGAAAAACATCGTTACTCAAGGCTTTGTTCTGAACAGCAAGAGCGTATTATAAATTAAGCGGACCCCAAATATAATTGGCTTTTGCAGATGAAATTTTTTTTTGTTTATTCTGACTCCTTGCTATTATGGAATGATCTGAATTATAATAATTTATTCAAACATAGACTGTTGGGTTTAACTCAGTGAAACAGGCAGTTTTACAATTAAACTTTAATGACTGAACAAGACGTTTTATATAATAATCAGAAACTGTCAACAAAAACAAACTTGATGTTCATATATAGTATGTTGAATAATCTGGCGAATATCTCCAACACCCCCACTCGACAGATCATTCCTCCACAATTCCTATTGAAGTTCTGAACTTCACAAACTTGTCCTTGGGTAAGCATTTCGTTAGGCCATCAGCTATCATATCTTGTGTTTGGCAATAAATGAAATCAATTACATAATTTCTGATCAAATCACGTAAATGATGGTACTTTACATCTATATGCTTAGTTCTAGCACTGATCTTTTCATTTGTGGCCAGTTTGATACAACCTTGATTATCTTCATACAAACAAGTTGGTTTATCACACTTGATTCCATATTCGTCAAGAATTCTCCGGGTCCAAACTACATCTTGACAAGCTAAAGAAGCAGATATATATTCTGCTTCTGTCGATGATAAGGCTACAGAAGTTTGTTTTCTGCTGGTCCACGATATTGCATTTTCTCCTAGAAATAATATGAACCCGCTTGTTGACTTTCGATCTGAAATATCACCAGCCCAATCCGAGTCTACGAATCCGTTTAAGATCAGCTCCTTATCTGATTTTAGCTTCAGCTTGAATCTGCTGGTACCCTTCAAATATTTTATCAGTTTCTTAACAGCATCCCAATCTATTTGTCTTGGCTGACTTACTTTTCTTGTCAAATAGTTGACAGCAGTAGCTATATCTGGCCTTGTCGTGGTAGATAAGTACAGTAAAGCCCCCACTGATTTTCTATATTTGTCATTATTTGGTAGCAGCTTATGATTCTCAGTGAGTTTTGGATATTCAGTATCCATTGGAATTAATGAAGGTGCTGCACAGTCTAATCCAAATTCTGAAATGAGATCGATAATTTTCTTCTCCTGATCCAGAAGAAAACTTCCTTCTTGATTCTGTTGAATTCTGATTCCTAAGAAGTAGGTTACATCGCCTAAATCTTCAATCTCGAAATGTTTGTTCAGCTCACTCCCAAACATCTTGATTGCCATTTCATTTTTGTGACAGATAAGTAAGTCATCAACATAAATTAGTAGATACATTGGATCTTCATCTCTTCTGCTGATGCACAAACATTGGTCATTTTCGCTTTGATGAAACCCATGTTCTTCAACAACCTTTTTCAGAACTTCATTCCAAGCTCTTGCAGCCTGTTTTAAACCATAAACAGATTTATGGAGTTTGTATACAAGATGAGACTTATTTTCTTCGACATATCCATCTGGTTGGGACATATAGATTTCTTCATTCAGAATCCCATTCAAAAAGGCAGTTTTAACATCATAATGTCTAACATAAAGCTTGTTAACAGCTGCAATTGTCAATGATATCCGAAAGGTACTTTGCTTCATTACTGGTGCAAAAGTGGCATCATAATCTTCTCCATATTTCTGAGTATAGCCTTTAGCAACTAGTCTTGCTTTATATTTAGCAATGCTGCCATCAGAATTGGTTTTTAACTTGAAAACCCATTTCGAATCGATAGGTTTCTTTCCTGTAGGAAGATTTGTTAGTGTCCAGACCTGTTTCTGCTTGAATGATTCTAATTCATCATCAGCAGCTTTCAACCATTTTTGTTTCTCATTTTCCGGAAATTTAATCATATCACTCCATGATTCAGGTTCTCTATGAAATTCAGTAGAAGTTACATATGAAAACTTTTCTGGTGGCACTCCTTTGTTCTTTCTTGATGATCTTCTGACTGTCTCATCCTCTTCTAGTATTTCATGTATATGGTCATCTTCAATTTCATATTCTTCCTTTTGTTGGTCTTCTGTCCTTGTCTCTTTCAATCTCATATCTCCACCTAGTTCATCAATTCTATGATCTGTTTTAATTCTTCCAAGTACAATCTCTGTATTCTTATGTATGTTCGTATTGCTCTCATCAGACTGTTTAGTCCTATAATTCGTAGAATGTCCATTTTCGATGAATTCAACAGTTCTACTTATTACAACTTTATTTGTGGATCTATCCAAAATTCTGTATCCACTTGAGTTTTCAGAGTATCCCACCAAAATTCCTTCTTTGGCCCGGGAATCCCATTTAGTACGTTTTTCTTTTGGAACATAGGCATAAGCAGTACTTCCAAAACTTCTCAAATGATCAATTTTAGGCTTGGCTCCATGCCATACTTCATAAGGAGTTGTTTTAATAGATTTACAAGGAAGACGGTTTTGTAAATAATTGGCTGTAACAATCGCTTCTCCCCAGTAAGTATTTGGTAATTGAGCGTCAAGCAACATACATCTTGCTGATTCACAGAGGGTTCTATTTTTGCGTTCAGCAATACCATTCTGCTGCGGTGAGTACGGGACTGTCGTTTGGTATGCTATTCCATATTTCCGTAAAATATCCTGAACAATTTTATTACAAAATTCGCCGCCATTGTCAAATCTGATCGACTTGGGCTTTCTTTCAAATTTATTTTTCACAAATACTATAAAATCTTCCAGTTTTTCTGATACTTCATCTTTAGTGTTCAACAAATATACAATTGTATATCGCGAAAAATCATCGATAAAAGTCAAGTAGTATCGTTTCTTTCCTGGAGTTTCTGTCCTCATTGGGCCACATACGTCTGAATGGATCAAGTCAAGACATTTGCTCGATTTATCGCCACAATGTTTAGAAAATGGCTTTTTGGCTAATTTCCCCTTCACACAACTGATGCATTGCAAAGTTTCCTCACAATTCTCTAATATACTTCCAGAAACTAAGTTTTCTGCAAAGAGTCTCTTGATATCTGCTGGATTTCTGTGACCCATCCTTTTGTGCCATAAATGAATACATTCGGTACATTTATCAGAAGACATATGTGCCTGATTTCTAGAATCTATTGCTAACTTATAGATTCCCTTCTCAATAGTTCCAATAGCGACAACATTGTCATTGATTTTTACATGACAGTGATTTGATTCGAAAGTGACATTGAAACCTTTTTCAGTCAAACGTTTCACCGATAATAAACTTGATCGAAGATCAGAAACATACAATACATTCTTAACTGGAACTGATACTATTTTGTCTGATACTTGACAATTCAATAGTCCTTCCCCTATTCCAGCACATATCATTTCATTACCATTTGCGACAGTCACTTTATCACTGTAATTCTGCAGATGTGTAAAGAAGTTTCTATTCGCCGTCATATGGCTCGATGCACCCGAATCTATGAACCACTCTGTACCTTCATAATCGTCTTTGGGATAAACACAAAAGCAATATTCTTCATTATTATCTTCTACTGCAGTTTTAGCTTTATATTCTTTCCTATCACTATTTTGACTACTTTCTCCACCTTCTTGCTGAGTTTTCTTCCAGAAATAGCAATTTCTTTTGACGTGTCCCTTTTTCTTACAGAAGAAACATTCCATTGTACAGAACGGCCGTCTATTTTCATTGTTATATACTTTTAATGCTGCTTCAGAATCACCTTCAGTTTTTCTATTAAATTCATCCATCAGTTTTCCTTTGACATATTCAAGAGTCAATTCATTATCAGGACGAGCATCCAAGGCCGTTACAAGTGTATCATAGTTCTTGGGAAGACCTCCAAGAAGTAGTGCAGCAACATGAAAATCTTTAATATTTTCACCTATTCCCCTCAGTAGTTCTACCATTTCGAGAGTTTGTCTTATATATTCGGACATTGTTTGTCCACTTTCTAATCTGGCCTGATAAAGCTTACGAAGTAAATACAACTTATTACTGAGATTTGCCCGTTCATGAACCTTTTGTAGAACTTCCCACATCTCCTTTGCTGACTGGCAGTTACAAATATGAATGATCTGGTCATTTTCTACACAAAGTGAGATGGTACTTTGCGCTCTTTCATCTAATTCTGCATAAATGTTACTTTCAACTTCTTCTTTCTGGACTTCTCCTTGAATTATCTTCCAACTGCCTTCTCTTATGAGAAGCATCTTCATTTTAAACTTCCAAGGCTGGTAATTATTATTATTCAGCTTAGCAAACCCAAACCTTGTATTTTCCATATTTTCCATTCTTTCCGCCTTGATCTTGCTTAAACACTCAATTTGAGCTCTACCTGATTCATGCGTTAACTGGGCCCACAACCTGTTGGGTTTAACTCAGTGAAACAGGCAGTTTTACAATTAAACTTTAATGACTGAACAAGACGTTTTATATAATAATCAGAAACTGTCAACAAAAACAAACTTGATGTTCATATATAGTATGTTGAATAATCTGGCGAATATCTCCAACAGATACTTTATAGGCTGAATATTATACAGTCTCACATAACTCAGATTGTTCAATATCTTCTCGATATTCTTTTATATATATTTACATTCTGCTTGGAACTTCCAAGGTACCAAGCACTTATTTACTATTGAAATTACCCATCCAAATCACCCGCACTCTTGCCCAACTACGTATGGCCAATCAATTCAAAATTGAATTCACCCTCAACGAAATTGCATACTCCATTGACCCTTATCAAATTTGTCCAGTTTGCAACAGAAACGGAAATGAAACTCTCCTCCATATTATTCTTGACTGCCCGATCTACACTGTTATGAAACAAGGAGCTCCATGTCTAAGGAATTTGGAATCATTAATCATTGCCTCACAAAAAATAACAATCAGTGATGCTAGAATAATTTCTGAATATATTTGGAATATCGTCAAACTGAGATCATTTATTTTGAATGGATTAACAATTATTGAATTATTTTCTTCTTCTTTAACTATTGATATTTATGCTTGTACTTGTAGGTTCTAATGTTCAATCGTTTTTTGTTCATTTTCAGAGTAGATACATACATATTATCCTCATTTTAATTTTCTTTCATACACTCGTTGCTTAAAACTTGTTTAAGAAGCAATAAACTATTCTTATTATTATTATTATTATTCACACTTCTGCAAGAATATGCACAAAACAGAATTATATCTGAAAGCTTCCTAATGCCTAATCACACAAGCGCAACTCTTGCAGATTCTGACTGGTCTATAAGTTGCTTGTGAGTTTATTCTTGTTTTTTCTTCCAGGAAGCATCTGTCTACATCATTGACCCTACAGGACACGAACCCGTTCGAGGAACTCTCAGCTTCAAGGAAACCGCAAACGGACTACACATCCAAGGCCAAATCCACGGATTGGTGCCTGGCAACCATGGCCTTTGGATTCACACCATTGGTCACATTTCCGACGGATGTCTGAACACTGGAGAATTATTCAACCCAAGAAACGTGAGTAACAAATATCATTGGATATCATAGAAAATAATTTTGAACAAGATTTTTTGTGTCCAATTCTGTTTTTCCTTACCTTATTATCCATGACAAACACTCTTTCGATCTCAATTCTAACATAGAAATTTGCATATCTGTGACAAAGGAAAAAACTCAACCCCCTCGAAATTTTGAAAATCAATGAAGCTGTAAAAAACTCTAACCTGAACAGCTTCAATGAACAAACTCAATTCGATAGTCTTAAATTATTCAACTCCTCACTATAATAACTACAATTCTGTTCTGTGCTCTTTGCCACTTCGAATCAAAACATTTCTTGGTTTTGACTTGAATGGTGTCATTCTGATGTTGTGTTTTGTCGTCAGCGTCATTATTGTCAATTTACATCTGTCGATTGTCATTTGTGATTATTTAACCTAATACAACAGATTCAGATTCAAATGTCGGTTCATTCTGATATTTGATTCATATCAAACTATTTCTGAAAACTAAGCTCTTATATAGCTTTTATTATGCCTGTTCCCTAACAGTTATCCTCCCGCACTATGCTCGGTCATGTTATTTTAATAATCTTCTGCACCAATAATGGTAGGTATATTCAGTTTTCTTTCACCCCTCCTGAATTATATCACCTCCACTGTAAGTTATGGATCACCTACGTTGGTTATCAAGCTTCATTTCAAACTGATGGAATAGCAAAATGAATGTTCACTAATGTCCAGTACAGTACCACGCATCAGTTCTGCTGCATTTGCATCTCATATGCATTCTTTCGAAATACCCAAATTGAGTCAATTGTATTTCTCATATGTAAAAAAAACAATTAGGCATTGGACATTCATTGAGTGTCCAAATATGTAACATTTCAGTTGCTCAGGATATCCACTGGAAGTCTTTCGATTGACCGAATTATCGGTAGTAAAGGTGGTTACTGATACACATAGATCAATCTCGAGGCTTCCTGTTCATATCAGTCCGTTCAATTTCAGTTTCCTGCGTATTTTGTTGAGATGTGTATGTGATATTTTCCCCACTTCTATAGCTGATGCGTTCATAGTCATGTCGATCATTTGTGATCAATAACATCGCAGTCCAGTTAAATCTATACTGCGTAATCTACAAATGTTGTTCTTCTCCAAGCCCAGCTGCAGTTCCATCATGAATTCCTGTGTCCCTTGAGAAATCCTGTCACGGTGTTGAAGGAGATATTTGACCTCCTGGAAGCTTGCTCGATTTCCTCTGTCTCAACATGTTTTGGCCCCCAGAAGGACAATTGATTTTTGAATCATCAAAAATGTTATCCCCACACCTATTCACGAAATTTTCGAGTATGGTAGTCTACATGTTCATTTGCTTCGGAAACCAGAGAGAATGATGACGTGCTGTTATATTGGGATCTTTTACTGGTACTCTCGGGTGTACGATGTTGAAATACCATGAATATCATAAACATGATTGTGATTGGAAGGATAAACACCATCAACTTGCCATATTGCCTGTTCTGTCCCATGTTCTAGCAACCTTATATGCACTTGATGATAGTTAGTAATTTCATCAGACAACTAGCAACTTCAATCGATGAAATAATCAGTTGACTCACAAAGTTCTAGTTGTCTTCGTCGAATGCAGTTCGTATTATGAGTACAATATTTCACTATCAAGGTGAACCAATGGTATAGTTTATCCAAAGTCAGTTGGAGCTTTTGTCAGTTGTACAGGGAATTTGTTCTGCCTTGTGCAGACTCCAACGAACTTCAGAAGAAACGAAACCGCTCTGCGTACCTATATGTTTTTTTCTCGAGGTGCTCTAACTGACTTTGGCCACTATACGATTCAAATCCTATAAAGGTACTTTGAGAATGAGTCAACTCAAGAATGTGAACAAACATCCAGTGAACTATGGATTATTAGCGATTATGACATGTATTAGGTATCTGAAGAATGTGTGATCTTTAATTGCAGGCACCACAGCCCATTGGCGACCTAGGCTCAATCATAGCTGATGCCGCAGGATTCTCCACTGTCGACATAGTGACCAAGGCACTATCTCTGGAAGGAGTCAATGATATTATCGGTAGGACTGTGTTCGTCAATTGTCCAACTGCCCCCGGTGGTGGACGTACAGCTTGTGGAGTCGTCGGGATAGTCGATTGAGTCTTCAGTTGCTGTTTGAGGATCGATGTGTTGTAATGTAATGAAATCTGAGCAATTTGTGGTTATGCGTAGTTAGAAGTCCAAAAAATATATATTGATATGTGAAAACTATCCACTGCATTCTCAATCTCTCCTTTATTGATACCCTTACCTTGATTCACAAGTAGTATTTGGAGGTCAAGGGCCACAACAATATTCCAGAGAATATGTCTCCAAGAGAATATCCAAATAAAGGGTGAATTTGAAGGAAATTCAGTAGGCTCATTAGTAACTGATGTCTGCACTACCCAATATCTTTTAAAACTCGAGAGCTTCAACGAAACACTGAATCTAAACATGGAGAAATATAGAAGTTGAAGTGTGGAACTGATGAAACTATTTCTTTTGTTACCTGATAAATCAGCAATCTGGTATATTTGCTATCAACCAAATATTCAGAATTCCACGTCAAATCACACACATAAAATGTTCATTTATGGAAACATGGAAACAAGATTTAAAAAAAATCAGAGAATTGAATAAGTATTCCGCCTCTTCGATGAACCAACAGACGGAATTCAATAGTACTGGAGGTATTTAGGAAATTTTTGTACAGGAAATGAAATCAATTCAAATGGCGAATGCAACAATTCTTTGATAAAACCATATAACTTCTGAAAAAAAATCTATCCTCCTCTCCGAACATCATAGGAATTTTCATTCGTGCGCTCCAAGTGAGGAAAAAGAAGATAAAATAATGAATCAAAAGTCAATTCCATATGATATGTTTCTACCACTGACATACAACCACTATCTAGACCGCTATATATGTCATATTCCAGCATCTTGAACATCCCCCTCAGGGGCTCAAGACTTATGAGTAAAGATATGGTTCACCCGAGGTACCCTAACAGGATACTCATCAATCTTCGACTTGTCTTGGATGGTATTCTCTTTACTTTTTAGGTTTCAGTATTTCATATCGGCCTTTCTTGGCCAATTGTTCAATTATCCCTCTTTCCTAAAGCATCACCTCACCATACTCGGCAGATAGAGCATTTTGTAGACATTTGTTGGCATCACTCAGATGGGATAGTTTGTGGACATAATTATGTCTGAGACGATGGGGCGGATTGTGAACATCTGCTAATGTGGCAGCCGATTGATTAACGCTTTGGCAACCTATTCAGATGGTTCTCTTGATGATTCCAGAAAAAATAGACATAACCTAAATACTACAAGAAAATAATTGAAATGTGATTATACAGTATTACTTAGATGTTTTGAGTAACATCAACCATACGTTATGAAGTTACATTGATTTTATATATAGTTCATGATATATTTATATAATATTCACCATCAACATCACATTGTAATATTTAAAAGAGGCAATAAAGCCCATTGCCGCAAAGTATCTGTGACATTAGGCATCTGCTAGAATAACATCACAAAGTAACAATGTAATATAACATTATTATTCGGGTATGTCTAGAAGTGAGTAGGCGCCTATAAAGCTGCTCCCAAAAAAACGAGTAAATCAAGTGGTTTAGAAGCTATTAATTTGGCTCAAAAGTGTCACAGTGACTAAATAAGTGTTTCTGATTAGTTCTGTTGAGTCAATTTCCTGATTTCATAATGGGAACTAGAAGTAAACAGGAATTACAAGCACTTATTAAAGATACAATATCCGAACTGCTATCAAGCGATGTGTTTTTAAACCAGATAATAAAAACTGTATCTGATAAGGTAGACTTGAGACTGAAAAACCTACAAGATGTTATAAAAACTCAAGAAGCGAAATTTCACGATATGGAACAAAAAATGGAGAATCTTCAACAGCAAGCAAAAATGACTAATATATGTGTATATGGGATTGAAGAAAAGGAAGGCGAACAGCTGATTACAGAATTTCGTGAAATGATAAATAAGAACACGAATTTGGCGATTTCGAAACAGGACATTATGTCAGCTTACAGAATTGGAAAGAAAAATGATCAACGTTTTCGACCGGTTATTGTGAAACTTATGAACTATGATTGGAAACTTACCATAATGAAAAATGCCAGGAACCTTAAAGGCAAGAAAATATTTATTACCGAGGACCTCACAAAGATACGTAGAAAACTACTAGCAGAAGCAAAAACAAAATTTGGCGACAACAACGCATGGTGTTATATAATGGTCAGATCTTCACCAAAGTTGATAACCACAAAAAACTGGTTAGGTTTGGCATGGACGGAAAATCAATTACATGCATATAACAGTTATGTACATATATGGTTTTTGTTAATTCTTATTATTATATCGATTCATCAACAAAATTATTATACTGCTTGAAATATAGTCAAGAAAATAGAAGGTTTAGGGGCAACTTGATTAGGTACCTATTATACATATATTATTAGTATACTCACTCTCTTTTAGGAATTTCTAATTTATTTTCAATAATATTTCTGCTAATTTGAGACATACATCTAATGTTAGATTTTCTGGATGAATTAGAAGAATATGAGGAAAAAAGGACACATGTCTGCAAAAATATCAATGAAACTCTAGAGAAAATTGCTAACGGTAAGAAACATCTCTTCAATATTATACATGTCAATATAAGAAGTTTGAAAAAAAACTTCAATGAACTTCTTATATTATTGGAATCTATAGAATTGAAAAACATAGATATACTTATTTTATCAGAAACTTTCATCATAGAGGATATGAATAACTTCGTTTTGCCTGACTTTAATATGTTTTATAATGAATCACACTATAATAAGAATGACGGAGTAGTGGTATATGTGAAGAAATATGTTGACAATATTGCCAGTATTGAAAATTTATCTGAAGTCAAATTGCTAAAAATA